GTCGGTTCTGCTCCCCCCTAATTAGAAACATTATTCTTACTATGATTTCACTTGTTTAATAAATACCATCTTCAATATACTTCCCGTATTTTAAGATATTAATGTTTGCATATATAGTGTCGTAATCAGGGGTATGAAACTATAAAGGGGGTGTTTGGTTAGAAGGCTATCGGCCATTTTTTGGCTGATTTGACTAACTTTGGCTTTTTGACTAGATCAAACGGCTAACAAGGATGTTTGGTTAAATGGGGTTTTCATTTGGCTTTTTATTCCAAACAGTCAAAATATGAAATGCTATTAATCTTAGCTTTTAGGATTGGCTTTTGAGTTAATTATCAAAATAGGACTAAAAGTCATTCACTTTTCATAAATAGGACCAAAAAATAAACTATGTTTGCATAGGACTAATTATGTGTACCTTGGACAATTATACCCTTATAGCTATTAAAATGTTTTAATTCCTAATAAAATAATAAAAAATAATAAAAATTCGTAAAAAATACTAAAAAATTAAGAAAAACATTTCGATATTAAAAATTTAATTAATTTTTTTTTTCAAAAAATTAAAAAAATTTAAAAAATTAAAAAAAAATTAAAAAAAAAATAAAAACTCAAAAAAAAAATCGTCGCCGCCTCTGCCGCCTCAGCACCACCACCTCCAGTCACCAGGGGAAAAAATGCCAAGTTCATTACGAATGCCATATTTATGGCAGAAAAAATGAAAATGTTGGCATTCGAAAAGAGAAATATGCCACTTTTTTGGCATTTTCAGAAAAAAATGGCATTTTTCTGGGAAAATGGCATTTTTTTCATCGGCCGGAGGTGGTGGTGCTGGGAGGTAGTACAGGCGGTGGGAAAGGCATCCATATTTTTTTAAATTTTTTTTACGGAGTTTTACTATTTTTTATGAATTTTTTTAAAAATAAAATTATTTTTTTAAAAAAAGGTTTTTGAATTTTTTATTTTATAAAATTTTTATAAATTTTTTAATTATATTTCTACGAATTTTTGAATTTTTTCCGAATTTATTATGAATTAAACATTTAATTATGGCTTTTGACTATTTTTAATTCATATTTAATGGAAGGGTAAGAATGGAATGCAAAAATAGGTATGTTTCCAATAGGACTCATATGGTCCTATTTTGGAATAAAAACATAGCAAGTCCTATTTTAGGTTTTTGCCATAGTTTTAGTCCTATTTGAACTAATTTCTATTGGCTTTTCGGTATATCATTCCTATATCCCTATACTACCCATGTGTATTTTCGTTATCTGTCTCCCTCCTACTTCCTGAAGAAAAGCCCCTTCCACCGAAGAAAAAAACCACTAGTCGGCGTACATATGTGCTTCCGCCAAAGAGGAACACTGAGGGGGAGCAATGTGTGTCTGTTCCTACTTAACAATCCAATTTTGCTACAGTTATTTATATTCATTTATATAATTAATTCAACTAATGACTTCCTGAACAATCCTTTTGTGCATTTGATAAAAATATACTTTTTATGTAAAAAAATACTACAGTAGTATGTATACAAATGGAGAACAACCAAGGAAGATTGTTTCTCGACGGATGTGAAAATATTAGTAAAAGTGTTCTTTTACTTAGTTAAAATATTTCTCGAATTTTTTAAGATATGTTATCTTTTACGCTGAAATGGTCATTGGTTTTTTTCATAGGGTGAGATTAATAATTAGTTATATTAGTACTATTACGTTTGTCAATATGTTTTTAAACCATAAAATGGTTTAAATAGTTACGTTGTATTAATCACATTAAATAAAAATTAATTGATGTCCTTAAATGTCATTTAACAAGTTATCAGCTGATTGTTTACAATCATTTAACCAAACACGATTTTATAAACTGCTAATACTATCAGCTAACCAAAACAGCCAACAATATCCGCTGACATCAATCAGCTAATACAATCAGCCAACAGATAACAGCCAATGCCCGTTTGCCAAACACCCCAAATTAGATTAGATTAATTAGTAGAATAACGTTCAGATATTTTTTACATAACATTTTATTCAAATACTTTGCATATTCCAATTTTTTAAATATTTGACATGGTTATGTTCGAAATTAAATTCTTCCACAAAAAGACAAAACTCAGCGGTTATAACCCATTGCAAAATATAAAGATTATACCCCTATTTGTCGTTTAAAATTTTGTCAACTTTCTTTTTTGGTTATCCCACTATTTCTGTCACTTTCTTTTTTAAATAAAGACTTTGTGATTCAAGTTAACAGTCTCTCACTTTCTTACTTTATTAATCCTTACTAGTCAAATTTGACGAAATTTTAAGGAACGAAGGGACACTACAAAAAACCATCGGATTGGCAGAGATTTTGGCAACGATTTGGCAGAGATTTTGGTAGGGAAATGCCAAATCCGTGCCAAAAACACTTTGGCACGAGGTATTTGGTACGAAAAATAGGTAAGTTCGTGCCAATTCCGTGTCAATCCTATCCCGTAGTTTTTTTGCAGTGAGAGTACTAGAATAGAACACAAAAATACTACTTTTTCGGAATTCTTTTAATTTTATGAATGAATGAATGTAATGCCGGTGTTGTAGGGGAGTGCCTATAACGTACGACCGGTATACGGTGAGCACCGTATACCGGGTACGGATTTATATATTTTTTTTCCTTTTGTTTTTAAAAAATGGTAATAACTTTTTTATTTTTGATCCGATTTTTATAAAATTTATATCAACATTTTTTATTTTTCATGATCTTTCAAATGAGACCAATATTGCCTATGTAATTTTAACATATTAACATTTGCGTGTAAAATATGTAACTTTACGTGTTAAAATATGTAACTCACGTTCAGTCAGGCCAAATGCAACTCGTGTGTATAAATATGTATCTCTACGTGTAACAATATGTAACTTTACGTAAAAAAATATGTAACTCGCGTTCAGACAGGTCAAATGCAACTCGTGTGTATAAATATGTAACTCGCGTGTATAAATATGTAACTTTACGTGTAAAAATATGTAACTTTACGTGTAAATATATGTAAGTCGCGTTCAGGCATGTCAAATGCAACTCGTGTTTATATATATGTAACTCGCTTTTAAAAAGATGTAACTTGCTTATAAAAAGATGTAACTTGCTTATAAAAAGATGTAACTCGCTCATAAAAAGATGTAACTCATTGTATTATCAAATGTAACTGAGGCCACTGATCCACTCCCAAACAGATTCGATCTTCTATTTCACAAACCTATCATCTCCCAAACAGATTCGATTTTCCTTATAATCCAATACTCATTAATATAATAGTTCGATAATTTCTTAAAATTACATTAGCAATATTGGTCTCATTTGAAAGATCATGAAAAATAAAAAATGTTGATATAAATTTTATAAAAATCGGATCAAAAATAAAAAAGTTATTATCATTTTTAACAACAAAAGCAAAAAAAGGGAGAGAGAGGGCAGGCTGCGTCGTTTTGCAACCGGGCGCACCACCCTCATGGTGCGCCGGTTGCACGGTATAATTTGCCGTTGTAGGGGCTAATACATGCACGTCACACAAATTGACTCCCCTTTTGCGAAAAATAATTAATGCTTTCTCAAAAGTATAAAATTAATCCCCCTTTTGCATGTAGATTACCAACAATATAAAATAACTTGACGAGGCTATCGATCATCAAAATCTCTCTAGCCCACATCCATGCAACTTTAATGAGAATGCCGATCCAGAACTTATGGGATCAGTTCATTCTTGATGTTATCCTTTGCATGCTTTTATTATTTTTAATCTTAATATAATATACTTAACATAATGAAATGCTTTATTAATTATTCCCAAATCAGTATTACTAGCTATAAACTTAAGTACGGTACAATGTCGTTGGTCAAAACTTTCAGGCTTGAGGGGCCACCGTGTTTTGTTTCGTATATCATATGATTCATATTCGTACTTACCCGGCCACGTATTATATTGATCCTTGTAATATGTTCCCTATTAATTAAATTAAATAAAGTTATAGAAATGAGTAACATGTGAATTAAATATACTTCGTCTAAGTGAGATGAGCTGACCTGATAATTGGCTGAATTCGATTTCTTTTACTCGATCGGGGAGATATTTTACTTTAATGATGAATAATAAATAGCTAATTAAGAATATCTTGGAAGCTAGAGTGCAAGTTAATTATTATCATGTGCATGGCGACCACTAAAATTGTCATCTAAGGATTCTCCAAATCTCTAACTTGGAGGGACATGTTTCATCTTCTCGCACTCCCAAGTTTCACCAAGAACAACATTCTAAAGTTGTCTTTGTGCAACCCATCAAAAGAGAGTATGTTTCAATTCATTAACCTTATAAGTTATAACCGCGCCGTTTAATTTAATATTAGAAAATAAAATTCACTTCATTAGAAACTACCTCAAAGGTTATACACTTATACTCCCTCATGAGGTTAAGTAAGGTTAGTTCTTTGCCTTTATTCGGCAGAAAAAAGTAATCGATTTTGTTGTTATCTTTGCTATTAATGTGTTTTTCATTTAAATTTGTTTGTTATTATAGTGTTATCTTTGTTTAGTAAAATACACTCTGGGATCTCAAACTAAGAGTTCATTCCATTATTCCAGCATTAAAAAAAATGTCATTACTCCCACTAATAACACATCATCACCGAGTACCAGCGAACTAAAATACGGAAGCTTATATTGTTATAATTTTCTATTTGTCTGTTTTTACATCTGAAATATAAAACCTATTCAAAGTAAAAAACATCAGGCAGTAAACAACATGCACTCTACACTCATTTAAAATAGATAATGGATTTGTTTTTAAACATAAGTTACACCTACTGTTAAGTGAATTATTAGATAATTGCAAATGAAAAAAAGTAAGTTGAAAACGAAGAACTACTTAGTCCTTACAGAGTATATATATGTATATGTATACATACACATATTGTCATATGTGATTCACTTCGTGTGATCATTGCCAACACAACTCTTCTTAGCAGGTTCCTAAGATACAAAGGGAGAGAGACGGTCCTGCGTGTGCTGAAATTGAACAATCTTGAGTCTTCTTCCACAGAGCATGGACTTGAAGAGTTGTGTTTGATCTTCTTTTTCCAGGTTTTGAAAGTTTCTTTGCTGACTTTTTTGAAGAATTAAAATGTACTCCGTAGTTGACATTGGTTGTGCTAATTTTGTGAGGTTTATTGTGAAAAAAAGAAGTCTGGTTACTATTTTATGAAGACTTTGGACCCAACCTACCATGTTTTCATTTTCCCACTTTTCTTCACAAAAGAAAAAAGAAAAAAATGAATAAATTAACTTTTTGAACTTATGAAGACTTCAGAAATTAAGTGCTTATTGAAATTAACTAATTTTGAAGACTATTTTAACTTTTTAATGGGCTGAAATTTTAACTTAATGAACTTATGAAGACTTTAATTTCCAGTCTTTCTTTTAATGAAAGGAACACGATGGTGTGGAGTTGGAAGTGATCATCATGAACCCCTAATTAGAGCAGTGTACTCATTTCCCTATTTCATACAACTCTTTTCCTTAGGGTGTCACACAGAGGAGATTAACCCATTTTGTTACAGTCAAATTCTTTTTACTGTTAATGGCAATTGTGGTAATTCTGATAGTTATTTTGGCAGCTTTTGTCGTTGTTAATTGTTGATATTTGTATTGTTCATCTTTTGAGTTGTATGTGCTATACCTGGCACATAGGATGTTGGTAGTTATAAAAAACTTGTCTTCTAATAGTGATCATGTTGGGTTTATTGATTTAAATTTATTTATTTCTAATAGTGATCATGTTTTACATATTGTAGGACTGGTTTGAGTGCGATAATGGCAAGCTTTTTGATGAAGTATTGATTCAAGATGCTAGAGAGTCCTACAACGATTGGAAAAGTGATTTATCTGTGTATTTCAAGAACAAAGGAGGAATGCAAGCTAAGAGACCTATAAATGTACGAAGTGATGAGCAATGGCAGAAGTGTTGTGAGAGATTCAATTCTACGAAGTTCAAGGTTTAGTATGAGTATATTTCCTTTTTATTATACAATTAAAGTTCTAATTTCTGACTTAGTTTCATACTTACAGGAAATTTCTTCAAAAAACCTACAAAATAGAGAAGCAAGTGATGATAAAAGTGGGCATGGGAGAAAATCATATGCCCAATACATGCACGAAAAAGTAAGAAATGAGTCTTTGTTATTTCATTTTGAGTTGTGATATGTGGCAGTGATTGGGTGATTACATACATTTGTTATTGGTGTTTGATGACATATGAATGTATGTTGTAATTTCCTTGGCAGTTTTTATGTTATATTGTAGTTTAATTGGGTGTCGTTTTTAGGTATGGTGCAGTTTTTTTGTATGATTTATTGTGTTTTTTTGTGGTACAATTTTGTTTCGGGGTGTCCCTAAGGCCTTGGTTAATATATAGTTTACCTCTCGTATATATTTTAATAAGCAGTATGTATATCACTTAATCGTATATTTCTGCTTTAGTTTTGCAGGTTTTTCAAAGATTATATTTAGTAGTACAATCCTTATTGTTGTGGTAGTGATTACTGATCGACCAATGTTAAAATTTCAAGCCACTAATTTAATGTTAATGTTAGTTATTGATCATTCATGTTATTTTAGATGTTGACAATTATAATGAATATTAAACAGGATGATCCAGAAACGGGTGAGCAGTACTCAGTTCTTGAAATTGGAAAGATCAACGTTTGACTCGTAGTGGCGAATGGAGAACAAAAGAAGCACATGGAAAATATGTAAGTATATTAAAAATATTTTATTAATTGTAATCATAATTATATGTAACTGTATGAATTGGAATTTGATAGACTCAAATGAGCGAAGAGTACCAAACACAGCTAGGACAAACAGGGTCATCGTCTTCAATAAATGAGATTGATATTATGCACCGGAACTTGAGAAGATATCGCGGACGCCAAAGCGGAGTGGGTCCTACCCTATCAAAGGGTGCATCTCGACGAGTGGAAGATGGCGCTACTTCAACATTCCAAGACCACCGGGATGTTCAAATAAGTGAATTGAAGGCAAATCAAGAGTTGATGCAAGCAAATCAGGAGTTGATGCTTCATGACCTACAACAATTTATTCCTGGCCTTAAACTTCCTTCACGCAGCTCCGCAAATGATGTTCCTTTGACATCAAGTGCTAACCAACCTGATCAGAGTCTCGATGAAGATGATCAAGATTGATAATATCGAGTTGAATATGCTTTTTACTTGGTTAAGATGAACATGAATTTATTTATGTTTACATTTTGTGATGTTTGTAATGATTTAATGAAACTTCGTTGTAGGATAACTCACCTTTACTATGAATATTGAATGAATTTATGTGTTGTTGACATTGGTTGTGTTTGGATAGATTTTGGTAACTTTGGTTTATTAATAAAAGTTTTGTATAAATAGCAATAGGTAATGTGGTGTAATTTCAGACCTGTACAGTGTTATTTGTGTCACAATGTCGACGTAAATAATGTATTTTAAAAAAATGACTGATAGGCTTTGGCGTCAACATGTGGATGCAAATAATGACATTATTTGCGTCGACGTGTTGACGCAAATAAATATTCACCTTTTGCGTCGACATTATGCATGATTACTTCCGGAAGATCTTTTCCGTCCATATGTCGACGCAAATAAGATTTTATTAATTGTGTCAGACAATGTCGACGCAAAAACATTATTTGCGTCGATACTTTTGCGTCAACCCTTTTGCGTCGACATGTGGACGCAAAAAACGCATTTGCGTTGACTTATGCTCTTTTGTGTCAACAATTTGTCGGCGCAAAAAACGTTTTTTCTTGTAGTGTCAGTCCCTTAAAAATTTGTCAAGTTTTATCAACACGAGGATTAATAAAGTAAAAACTGTGCGGTTGAGGTTTGTGCAGAGGAGAGAGAATTAACTGAAACCACATATTTTTTACTTAAATGGGAAAATGGCAAAGTTAGTGGGACATCAAAAAAAGAAAGTTGACAAAATTTAAAGGGACGAAGGTAGTATGCAACAAGTAGTGATATGACTAGTTTATTACACATAAACTACACATGGGATCTTTGGTAGGATTCGCCAAATTATATACTCCTTCCGTCCCTTAAAACTTTGCCAACTTTCCTTTTTTGGATGTCTCACTAACTTTGTCACTTTCCCTTTTGAGTAAAGAATTCGTGGTTTCAGTTAATTCTCTCTCCTCTGCACAAATATCTACCACACAATTTTTACTTTATTAATCTCCGTGCCGGTCAAACTTGGCAACGTTTTAAGGGACGGAGGGAGTAGGTGGTTTGATATGGATACGTCTAATTCATAACAATGTACGTAGTTTTGTCATGGGCTGTTTGACACAGAAACGTCAATCAATATAATTCTCTCCAAATCCCTGTTAATTCAGTTACTTTTCTGTACTGGTAGTACTATGGGTAATAATCATGCAATATGGAGTGTATTGAAGAAAAATTGTAACGAGGCAAGGTTAAATATAGGGGAACTGACCAAAATAAGAGTAAATGAAGTTTGAAATTCTAAAATAGGACTACTATATTTTTCTTTATAAAATAGGAGTTGTTATTGCCATGAATGAAAATACTGCTGATGGAGTTTAATCCAACTACGAGAGTTATATCTACGGAAGCAGATGAAAGTATGGCAGCGTAAGGCAGTATTTTATTATCAAGAGTTCCATCCTTTTACAGGAGAATTACATGAAGTATTTATAGACTACACTAGCTTGTATTCGAGGAGGAAACTGCTACATTAAATGCTATTAATTACATATTAGTCCGAGTAGGACTCTTGTAACGTCTTGGCCGTTGTGCAATGATTGATCCTTTAAGTCTAGGTCCTTCCGTTATTCATGCCTGCTGCCAAATAGCTATACACGAATGATAGTCTGTCACGTAAGCTCTAGGAATATCGCGACCTCACTTGAATCCCGCCCAGGCTCGAGGTCTGCTGTCCAGCCTGACCTGGTTGTGGGTTCCTTTCGTGAGTCTTATTCCTAATTAGGCCCAGTGGCTATTTAATATTGATCCCGTTCATGGGCAGATCTCGTTAAGGGCTTGATCTCGTTATGGGTTGGATCCCATACGTTAAGGGCTTGATCCCGTTGAGGGCTTGATACCGTTATAGTCTGGATCTGTAATTCCATAATTGGGCCATGGTCAGAGTCCATGGTACCATCACGAGCCCCCTACTCTCTTGAGCTGACCAGGCTCGACAAAAGAGAGTAATTTGATTCCTTTCTTATTCTTGAAATTCTTCATTCTTTGAGGCGGGCGTGGTGAGATGGAAAGGAATAGAGTAGTGATTGCCTCGTAATGACTCCTCCAAGGGATGAGGGTTGTCACCTTTTGTCCATAATAGGGAGTTGACCTCGGACTTTGAGCTTGTGTAGCTCATAAGCTCCAGGATGGCTTCCAGGCCTTCCTGTTTGCCTGTTTTCAATCATTTTTGTCCTTTATTTATTTTGCCTTGAATTTCCGGTCAAGGTCGTCTCTCCTTTATCAAGGATGACTTTACCAATTTTAGACCATTAGGCTCTTAGCAGTTAATCCAGTTTGGGTGGGCTTCACTTTAGGTTACTTTGACCTTGGTGACTAGCCTCTTGATTGGCGAGGCTTGTTAGCCTCTCCGGTGCAAAGTTAATTCCTTCAATTTCATCTTTAGCCCTGTAAAATAAATCTTAACCTTGAGAAAGGTTGTCTTTTCCTGTTTGAGGAAATTTGATTTTGTTTTTAAGGCTGTTTAACCTTGAGGAAGGTTGTTTTATCCCCGCTCTTGCCTTTAGGAAGGCTAAGTTGAGCTTTTAGAATTTAGATGAGTTTAGAATTTGCACCTTGTCTTTTGCGGGTACCAATTAGGCATAGCCTTCACTTTTTTTTGGCTGGTTAAGAAACCTTCGCAAGTAATGTATAAAGAACATTTGTGAATGAAAATGAAACGAAACTTATATCGGAAGAAAATTACATACTTACTGGTGGAATTTTAACAAGTGCTCAGAATTTCACACTCGGTCTCGGGCCCAACTATCCCTTTGATCTTGTAAGGCTCTTCCCAACTCTTAGCTAACTTTCCGCCTTCTAGAGGTTTGTTGGCTGACCTCCTTCTTAGGACCAAATCTCCGATGTCGAATTGTATTGGTCTGACCTTGGCATCATGATATTCTTTCTTCAATTAGGTGGAGCTCTGCCCTCAACATCCCCTCATTATCCTCAGGGTCATAATCTTCCACCCTTCTACTTAGGTCTAAAGCTTCCAAAGGAGCCCGAGCTTCAAAACCATAGGTTAGGGCAAAGGGTGTTTCACTCGTTGCCTTCCTTGGAGTGGTTCGGTAGGCCCAAAGGATGTTGTTCAGCTCGTTCACCCAGGCCGTGCCCATGGATTCCAACTTCTTCTTGAGGCCATCCACAATCGTTCTATTCACATTTTCAACTTGCCCATTGCATTGAGGATAAGCAACAAACGCCCGGCTGGCCTCAACTCCCCATTGCCCACAAAATTCTCTAAAGGGCTCGGAGTCAAACTGCTTTCCATTGTCAGTAATGATTTGCATGGGAACACCAAATCAGCAAAATGTGTTTCTCCAAACGAACCTCTTGCATAAGAAACCTTCGCAAGTAATGTATAAATAACATTTGTGAATGAAAACGAAACGAAACTTATATCGGAAGAAAATTACATACTTGCTGGTGGAATTTTAACAAGTGCTCAGAATTCCACACTTGGTCCCGGGCCCAACTATCCCTTTGATCTTGTAAGGCTCTTCCCAACCCTTAGCAAACTTTCTGCCTTCTAGAGGTTTGTTGGCTAACCTCCTTCTTAGGACCAAATCTCCAATGTCGAATTGTCTTGGTCTGACCTTGGCATCATGATATTCTTTCTTCAATTAGGTGGAGCTCTGCCCTCAGCATCTCCTCGTTATCCTCAGGGTCATAATCTTCCACCCTTCTGCTTGGGACTAAAGCTTCCCAAGGAGCCCAAGCTTCAAAACAATAGGTTAGAGCAAAGGGTGTTTCACCCGTTGCCTTCCTTGGAGTGGTTCGGTAGGCCCAAAGGATGCTGTTCAGCTCGTTCACCCAGGCCGTTCCCATGGATTCCAACTTCTTCTTGAGGCCATCCACAATTGTTCTATTCACATTTTCAACTTGCCCATTGCATTGAGGATAAGCAACATACGCCCGACTGGCCTCAACTCCCCATTGCCCACAAAATTCTCTAAAGGGCTCGGAGTCAAACTGCTTTCCATTGTCATTAATGATTTGCATGGGAACACCAAATCAGCAAAATATGTTTCTCCAAACGAACCTCTTGCATTGTTCAGTAGTGATTGTGGCCATAGGTTCTGCCTCAACCCACCTAGTGAAATAATCAACAACAACTATGATGAATTTCCGACCTCCTGATCCCTGCGAGAGGAGACCCACGAGATCTATCCCCCACCTAGAGAAGGGGATCATTGTGCTGATAGGGACATACAGGGTAGCAGGCCTGTCAGGGTTCATTTGAAACTTCTCGCAGACCTCACATTTTCATGCGAAATCCGCGCAGTTCCTTATCATAGTTGGCCAAAATTCCCTTACAGAATGGCTTTCCTACTTAGAGTAAACACACCTTGATGTGATGAACAGATTCCTTCGTGCAATTATTTGATCATTTGTTGAGCTTGATCTCGCTTTAGGCATTTTAGTAACACACCATTGTAACTTCTCTTGTAAAGCTTGCCATGTTGGATGACATAGTTTGGAGCCCGTTTCTTGATCACCCTTATAGCTTGCCTTTTCTACATATGAGGGTAGCGTTTCAGTCTCCATATACTCCACTAGGTCATCTATCCAGCATTTTGAGGCCTGGCAAACCGTCAAGACCTCCTGATCTTTGGTAACCTCGATGCTTGGCTTACCCAGCTCGTGTACTCGAGCTATGCAAGTGAGATGTTCGAGCGCATCTGTCGTCAGTTTGGACACAATGTCTGCCTCGACATTCTGGGCTCGCGGAACGCATATCAGGTCAGACTCTTCGAATTGTTTCATGAATTCCAGGGTTGCATCCCTGTATCTCTGCATCCGGGTTTCTTTGGCGTCATATTCCCCTCTAAGTTGTTTGATGACCAACTTAGATTCACTCTCGGTCCTAAGCTTTTGGACTTTA